CCGCGGGTGCTTAGCCAGTCCCAGCTCACTAACAGCAACGTCAGCCCGACGGCGTCTTGGTCGCTCCTCGACCCCAGTAAAGCGGATCCACGCGCGGCGATCGGGACAAAAGCCACGGCGCCACAGCTGCACCGAGGGCGCGCCAGACGTCACTCCGGCTCATCTCGCCGAACATGGCCAGCATTTTGGTGCCACGCGGTTTTTAAACCCGCCTTTTGAAAAATAACAGGACGCCATGGATTTGTCTTGCTCATAAAGGTCAAACCGATCAAAAGGGTGTCACTCAGGCAACGCAGCCATGTCTCACTTCAGCTGGTGATTGTGTACAATGCATTCGAGGACATTAGTAATTGGTTAAAGGTGGTGATGCGTTTGCCTTTTGCTGCTGTAGAAGATCCAAATTTGTGTAGTGAGAATACTGCGCGATAATTTTTGGTATAGCTATGGGCTGTGCACATACCGGGTGGGCGAGCGCGGATTGGCGCCCCGTAGCAATCAGCTGACTCGCTGCTGCTCTCCGTGGCCGGTGCACTCATGCGATGCACGTCAACAATTCAAAATTTTTCCTAGAACATTGCGCCGCTTTCTAAAGGAAGCTTCGCTCTCAATCTTATCGACATGTGCTAGTGATGATGGAAATATTCATATGCATTCTCCCAGTCAGTATCCCAGTTTTTCAACAACGCTGGCCCCTGAACCTAGCACCCAGCTCATTTCTCGCCTCCAGGTTTCTTCGGCCTTGTGTACGTGAGCAGACCAGCGCCGCTGCTTTTGCTTTCTTTATTGTGATATCCATACCTTTATAAACAGTGGAGCGGCGCCGTGTGCTGGACGCCGCCGCGACCGGCCGGCCGGCGGGGCGCGGGGCAGCGGCAGCAGCGGCGGCGGCGAGCATGCATACAGCGGCGGCGGCGACGGCGTCGGCGGCGGCGGCCGGGGCGGGTCGCCAGCCTCTACCGGGCTATCACGGCACAGACAAGGGCTCGCTACCAATAAAATAACCAGCGGAACGAGGGCGGGCGGCGGAGCGCCCGCCGGCTGCCAGATGTGCGCGCGCGGGATGGAGCGACGCGGGTGGCCGACGCGTGGGGCGCGCGCGCCGCGCCGCGCCCTGATTGACCGGGCGGCCACGCGCGTCCTCTGTACACATGAAAGACAAACCAACGAAAAGCAAAACACCGGGGAAACGACTAGCAATCGTAAATAACGAAACCACCGAGCGCCGCGCCGACGGCAATGCCCAGTCCGCACGGGGGCCGCCGGCGCGGACCGAACTCTCGCTAGCCACCGTCATGTAATATCTCTACCAATCACTCTACCGCTAGCAACACGCGTCCGGTCGCTCGTCCGCGACGCGACACAACAACACGGGCCGGCCGGCGCGGCCACAGATAGAGAGAGGGAGAGAGCGGGCGGTGCACCGGGCCGCCGCCGGCGCGCATGGCAGTGTGGGCGGCGCGCGCGCCCGCTTCGCCGCGCGTTCACATGTTGTAGGCCACGTAGATGGGGTCGAGCTGATCCTGCAGGAAGCCGTCGCGCAAGTGCATGCGCTGCTTCTCGCCGCGCGAATTGATGGGCACGACGCCCGGGTCGACGACCACCACGACGCCCGACGATCAGGTGGTGGTCCTCTAGCACGGTGTTGGTGATGAGCGGCACCAGGTCCAGAGCGTCGTCCTCGTTCCCCTCCAGCTCGGCCACCACCACCAGCAGGTTGGTCCACACGAACACGGCGCTGCCGGCGGACACGCCGTGTCAAGGTGCGGCCGTGCCATGGCGCCCCTGAACGGCAACTGACAGCTCGTGCAAGATGATGTAATGCTCATGGAAGCAGTCCGCATCTCGCTCCGGCATCTCATCCGACATATGCCAATTTCGCAATCTTAACCAAATCTAGCGGGAAGAAACGGAAAACAACTTTACCCGTGCCAACCACATACGTAATCCGTATATCGCTGGCTGTCGCAACATTAATTTGACTTCATGATGAACGATGACGAAAAGCCATCTTCGCATTTGTTGTGCAACAGATAAGCACGTGTGCCCGTTATTTGTACATAACAATCGAAGAAGCACAATTCATTTTAGAACTGACTCCACCGAACCGAGACGGCATCGACTGCACACCATCAGTGACGCGTCGGCGCGCCCCACAACACGCGCGACATATACAGGGGACCGACCCAAACGGCGACACGCATCACAACACAACCCAAAGGAGCACACGGGCCGACGCGGCTCCCCAGCGAACCGCGCGGTCTTCGGACGGCGGACGGGGCTGGCGCAGCCCAGCGCCGGGCGTCGGCGCCGACGGCGGCGGCCCGCGGGCCGACTCCACCCACCATTCGACCACCTTCTTGTGGCACTTGAGCACGGACGTCTCGATGTCGATCGGTGGTAGCGCATGCCGCGCAGCATCACCGTCTCGTCCAGCGAGCCCACCACGAACACAGGCGTCGTGCTTCTCTGTGGACGGGGGGGGGGGGGGGGGGGCGGCGGCCGTCAGCACCGAGCGAGACACCGGGCCGCCGGCGGGACCGCCGCACACGGCAGAAACAGTCGGCCCCACTAGGAGATGGAATACAAAACACCAGTAGGCAGCGAATGCTCGCCTGTGCCATGCGTCGTCGAGCAAACAACGACCCAACAAAAAGGGCATTAATCCTTGCGTGATGCACGCGCCGAACTTGAGACATGATGTCAGAATCCTTGTGCAGCACAACTCCCCCGCATACAGACCTTTGAAGACGAGCGCACGTCGGAGGGTGACAAGCGCAGCGTGACCTCACGTGACCAACGTTTCGTCCGCCGCTCACTCCCAACACCCACACCCACACACAGTGAAACAAATCTGTCCATCGGCATGCAGCCTTCCACCTCATCCGGACGGCGGCGACGGAGCCGTCAGGGGGCGGAGGGGGTGCCGAGCGAGGGCTAGGATAGGTGGCGGACGGACCTCCGTCGGCGGCCAAGGCAGCCGCCAGGGGGAGGGAAGGGTGCCGAGCAAGGGCCAGAGCAGGGGACGGACAAACCTCCGTCGGCGGCGGACGCTGTCGGTGCGTCGCAGGAAGCCCAGGTAGCCGGTGCGGGCGTACACCTCGCCCGTCGAGCCCGTCACCAGCTGGGCGGTGAAGTGGTCCGAGGTGCCCGAGTCGTCGCCGTAGATGGTGAAGTAGCCGGTGGAGGTGTGCGGCGACTGCACCCAGATCTGCCGGCGGCGGCGGCGGCCGGTCGCGTCAGCAACGAACACGGCGGGGTGGGTCGTGGCGGTCCAGCGGACGCACCAGCAATGGGGACCAAGAACGACGGGAAGAAACAGATGGGCAGGCGGGAAGGCACGCACTGACACCGAAAGACGTATGCACACAGGGCAAATCCACAGACAGCCGAGTCGACGGACAGACCAGTAGCTACGCCTCGGCAGATACACCAATACACCGAGACGGGCAGGCCCGCACACGGACGGACACTAGGAAGCCCGGTCTTTACGGCTGACAGCATTGTACTGCTGCTACACAGGCGCGCTCTGCATGCCAGAGCTGGCGCACTGACACCGGCACCTTCAAACTCTTCACCAGTATATTGGCCAAGCACTGTAGCCGACACTCCCCGTCTCTCGCCTACCGCACAGCGGGGACATCCACCACCATTCCTCCTCTAGCTGCTACGAGCAGCCAACGACCCCTCCCTCCTATTGCTTCAGTCCGCCAGCTGCCCCTCCCCCCGTCCTCCCTCGGCTGCCCCTCCTCCTCCCCCCACCCTCCCTCGGCTGTCCCTCCCCGGCCCTCCCTCGGCTGCTCCTCCCCCCCCCCTCCCTCCCTCGGCTGCGCCTCTCCCGCCCTCGCCACACCCGCCGGCCGTTCGCCTCTCACCTCGCCCAGGTTGGAGTCGCCGCAGTGGCCCTTGGTCTCGGGGGTTGGCTATGATGACCTTGACGCCGGGCAGCAGCTTGCCGGACTCCATCAGGCAGAGGCTGTGCGGCGCGCCCCGCTCCACCAGCGTCACCCGGTCGTTCCGCAGCGCGCGCAGGTCCACGAACACGGTGCTCGGGTCCGGTGACGAGGCGCCCTGGCGGGCAGACACCAGCCCCGTGTCAGCGTACGGCGGGGAGACGTGGCCCAGGCGGCGTGCGATAGAGGGCGGGTCAACAGAGTACGGCGGGGAGACGTGGCCCAGGCGGCGTGCGATAGAGGGCGGGTCAACACTATTTGACGGGATTCCTGCAGCATCTGAAGGATCCTAAAGGCCTGGAGAGAGGGACTTACGCATCAGATAACACTGCAGCGGTAGAGGAGCGAGCAGCCGGCAGCGGGAGCAGTATACGGCGTTCGGTGAGCAGTCCAGTGCAGGGAGAAACCGCGCGAATATCGTTGACAGCCATTTCAGTCATAGGGTTCCAACGCTAAGCCGCACGCTAATGACCCCATAAGCACAAGTGAGAGGAAACCTGGGCGCTGGTGAGATGTACGTGTTTTCATTTCTAAAGTTTTAACTTGCGCGCAGCTGCTATCACAACGCGACATTTCGCGTCAGGCTCCGCACAGATCCAATAAAACTCCCCGCCCGTACGACATTCACCCCCGGACTCCGCACCCGACCACTGAGCGCCGCCCACCTGCAGGCAGATGGCCACGTTGACGCGGCAGCCGAAGCTGGTGCTGACGGCGCGCGGACTGAGCGCCAGGCCCGAGAACAGCTTGCTGAACGAGGTGCAGAGCGCGATGCGCGGCCGCTCCTCGGCCACCACCACACACGTGCGCACGCACGACAGGTTCACACCGCGCTGGCGCAGCAGCGGGATGGACGAGGCCAGCCCCTTGGTGCAGAGCTCCATCACGCCTGGCGGCGGGCGTGGCCATGTCAGCGGCAGGGCGGGGCGGGGCGCGGCGGTGCCAGCTAGGCGTGGCGCCGCAGCCCAGTTGGGCGAGCACCCAACACGTGGTGGGGGTGGAAAAGGACGACAGGGGACCGTTTATTACGCAAGAGGAAGCGAAGTTACAGCATGCTTGAATCATTTATCTGAGGTATCCCTACATCTGGCTATGTTTAGATGTTTCCAACGCACCACACGTCCCAACTGCACTCAGTTATCACTGCATTACACCGGAAGCGTTTACATGAATGTGATTTGTGGACCACATGGACGCTGGCGTCGCCCGTCACCGAGCCGGCGACCCCACCCGGCGCCGAGCGACGGCGCAGCGCGCCCCGTCGAGGCGGCGGCGCTCACCGTAGGAGCAGAAGGTGTCGCGCACTTTGTGCTGGCTGACCACCGACAGCCACAGCGTGGGGTTGGCCTCCACTTCGGACGGCGGGATCAGGATCGACCGGTGACCCGAGTAGATGCTGGCGAGCACGGCAGGCGACGCGTCAGACACGGGGCGCGCGCGTCGCAGGAGCGGGCTCTCAGCCGTCAGGACGCGGTCCCAGCCGCACGCCACCGGCCGCCTAGCGCCGGAACATCACGGTCAACGGCCGCACACAGAAGGATGTCCGTGGCAAGCGACATCGCAGCGGTAAACTTGACTTTGTTGACAGTAAACGGTGCTGGCACTGGCAGCATACCAGCGCATAAAATTAAGGGCGCCGGACAGCATCATCCGGATTATACGAGCGCATACTGACCAGTGCGGATGAACATGACTAGAAAACAAGACGGAGGGCCTTTTTATTGCTCACTGACATCTGCCCCGACCACTCCTATCCATCCATCCATCCTCCGTCCCCGGTCCGTCCGTTCATCCATCCGTACCCAAGCGGCAGCGCCGCGCCCTCCGCCGCACCCACCTGCTCAAGCACCAGAGCGCGAAACCGAGGCCGCAGTAGGGGTCCAGGCAGAGCGCCACGTGCCGGGACGGGTACAGCTCGCAGGCCAGCTTCATCGAGCGGCACAGCGACGTGGTGGCCGCGTGCGACATCTTGATGCCGGCCAGCATGCCTGTCGTTGACACGCTGCCGGCAGGAGCGCCCACGTCAGATTGGAAGAGGCGCCATCAACATTAGGACCGCCTATCGCCGCACGCCATTATCGTGAGTATTCGCGTCGCAGCTTCCCACGTCGGCTGCCGCGATGTCCGCCAAAGACGCCGGACTTGAGCGCTGGTCAGGGGCGCTTAAGTCCGGCGTCTTTGGCACAAGTCATTGAGCGCGTCTGAGGCACAAGTCAGGCGCTACGTTCGTCAACAAATGCCCTACTAACGTGCGAACCACCGTCCTGTTTGGGGGCTCTTGCCCGACGTTACCGCCCCAGTCCAAGCCCCCATCGAACCACACTAGCAGCCCTGCCCGACCCCGCCCACCTGAAGTCGAGGTAAGCCAGCATCTCGGCCGTCGGCGCGCGGTACACGGCCACCAGCTTGCGCTTGGGCATGTCGTCCGTGTCGAGCGTGGGCGGCCACGACTTGACGTCCACCACGTTGGAGGCCTCCTTGGAGCGGAGCAGCTTGATCACCGTCTGGTTGGAGAGGATGAGCACCGACTTGCTGACGTCGACCGTCATGCGGACGGTCGGCAGCGTCGTCTGCAGGTTCTGCGGGTGCGGTGGCCTGATGGTCACCGGCACAGCACCTGCGGCAGAGGAGGTCGGGTCAGCGGCCGCCCGGACACGGACACGGTCGGGCACGGACACGGCCGGGCTTGGACACGGTCACAGGACGACCACCGGGCCGGCGCGGCCGGCAGATCATTCATTTCCGGACGCGCCGACTTGCGCAGGCCGTTTTTGCGCACCACGGCGAACGTGGTCAGAGGCGGGAACCGAAACGACGGCGTGCGAGAGGGGCCGCAGCTGGCAGCGGCCACCACACGGCAGAGCCGGAATCCAGCGCACCAGTCGACGGATCGCTCCGGCAGCGAAACGAGGCGGCACCGCGCCGCAGCAGCGGTCCGGCCACCCACCCCCAGTCAGGCGACCGCCTGTGCCCCGACGGTCCCAGACCGTCTGTGCCCCGACGGACTCAGACCGCCTGTGCCCCGGCGGACCCAGACCACCTGTGCCCAGGTGGACCCAGACCCTCCGCCAGGCCGCGCGGCGTGGTTCGGTAAAGCGGCGAGCGTGCACGGCCGGCCGTGGCCCCTGAGCCAGATCCTCGCCGAGAGCTGCGACTCCGGCGAGCCGCCACCCGCTGGCCGGCGTTCCCGGCCGCGGCCGTGCGACGGCGCTCACCGACGTAGAGGCAGCCGTAGAAGGCGGCGATCAGGTCGAGCCCCGGCGGGTACACGAGCGCCACGTGGTCGCCGGTGTTGACGCGGCCCTTCTCCAGCAGCAGACAGCCGACCCGCTCGGCCCTCTGGCGGACGGCGCCGTGGTTAAGGCGGCGGCAGCAGTGGCGTGCCACGGGGCAAGGGGCACGGGGCGGTGAGCGGGGCAGGAGGCCGGCAGTGGCGCTCAAGTGCCGAAATGCAGTGGTTCCGCATAGCCTTCTTCTGTGCAACGCGGACTGAGAGCAAACAGCTCGTCGTATTTCGGCAAACACCCGGAAGACTGACAACACGACGCACACTGTCGCTCCGGCTCTGCCAGGCGCACCGCGACGGGCCACAGAGCGCCGGCAATGCCCGCGCGATCGGACGTGGGGCCGCAGCACGCCGCCCGTCCGCCGCGACCACACTGCCGGCGGGCCGGCCTACCTTGTGCAGCTGGGCGCAGGTGAGGGTGGAGCTGGGGCCGCCCTTGGCGCTGAGCAGCAGGAAGAGCGGGTGGTCGGAGGTCGTCTGAGCCCGCCAGCGCAGGATCTCAGAGATGAACTGGTGCTGCGAATGGCGGTAACCAACTGTTAGCCCATTCAGCGAAGCATGCAATCACGCATAACCTGACGTAACTGCCGCCAGAGTAGCACTCTTCTGGGCCGAAAAAGTTTCCTGCGACGAGAATCGAGCCTGAACACTGGCATGGTCGTCACACACTTAAGGATACCGCCTGCCCGCACGAACACTGGGGCGTGTGGCAAAAGGTGGCCCTTGTCACGATACGTGCAGCCCAGCCCAGCTCTGTAGCGCCCCTGACGTGCGACCCGCGTGAGAGCGGCGGACGAGAGCAACACCGTGTTCCGGTGATACCATCGCCGCCAGCGCCAGCAAAACCACACGACATCGACTGACGGGTGCCGCCCTCACCGAGCACCGAATACGCCGGCGTTGCCGACTGGCAGGCGAGCGGCCGGCGCCTCGCAGCCGCAACCCACCTTTTTCGTGGTGTCGTTCTCGTCGTCGGCGGTGCCCAGGTCGCGCCCCTGCGCCGTGGCCAGCCGGTTGCCCTGCACGATGTTGCCGAGCATGACACTGGCCGGGCCCACGTCGGCTGCGGGCGGGTGAGGCCATCAGGACACCGCATCCGAGACGTGTCGACACCGGCGGCGCACCAGAACCGGAGGCCGCCAGGAGGCGTACTGACCGGTCAGCGCACCACGCCTGCGACGAGTCGACACCGGCGCGCGCGCCCAGAACCGGAGGCCCCCAGAGGCGGGCCGACCGGTCCGCTGTCATCGGTAGCAAGTCCACCAGCGGGGCGTCGCAAGCCGTCGGCACGGCTCCACGAACTGCTACTTTAAACACGTCCCTAGGCTGGCGTCCGACGTGACTTTAAGTGAAAGAAGTGCGACATCGGCTGGTACGTGGAACTGCGATCACTGCCACCACCCCGGTAGAAGTGTTGTCAGCGAGTTTCCGGTCGCCAGCGCCGCGCTCCTTTCGATTTACGATCCGTCAGGTCTAAATGCCTATGACAAGCAGCAACGAACAGCGCCTGTCGGCGCCCGACAACCACCGTCGGCACGCCCAGCTTCTCAAGCCCCCGCCGCAGCACAGCCTCCGTCCGGAGGGACACTCGGCCCCTCCCGCCGACGGCGGCGCCCGCTGTCGGCAGCAACGGACGCGATCGGCACCCCCGGCCGACAGCCGACCGACGTCCGGACCGGGCGGGCGACACGGCCTGTCGCCGGGAGCGCCAGGTCGCGGCGCCGCCTCACCTTTGTGCACCTCCCGCGGCTTGGGCAGGTTGGTGACGCAGGTGTGCGGGCACATGAGCACGTTGGCCGGGTGCAGGCAGCCGTCCAGGAAGCGCCGCTTGGTCTCCGACAGGTGGATGCCGCCCAGCGGCGTCTTGGGCAGGTAGTTGTGCGGCACCAGGCACAGGCAGTAGATGCCCACCTGGTGGATCGAGTCCACCGCCTGCAGCACTCGCGACATCCACTGGAAACTCTGTGGGGGGACGGCGCTGTCAGCGGGGCGGAGGGGCAGGGGGAGGGGAAGGGGGTTGCGGCCTGGAGGCCGAACCGGGCCGAGGAGGAAGCTCTGCCCGCAAGGCGGGCAACGAGGACAGGGGAAGCGGCGCGCAGCCGGGAGACCGAGCCAAGCAGAGGAGGAAACTCCACCTAGGCTGGGCGGACAGCGCCACCCTGGCCTCGAGTCCGCAACACGGACCCGGGGCATCGTTCAGCGTATCGAAACACAGCATAGCACACACGCACACCTGCGGTGTTCAGACCTCCGTACACATTCGGCCCAGAGACCCAGCCTTTACACTCCCAGAAACTCAGCCTGTTTACACACAGAATCTCGGACGGGCCTGCTCAACACACTCAGGAGCCCTGCTCCTCGGTGCACTGTGACCGCCGACCGACCTGCTCCGTGGCGCACCTGCTGACCGCCAACTGACCTGCTCCTCGGTGCACTCGGGCCGCTGCTCGGCCACCACGCAGATGCGCTCGTCCGCAGCACGCGTATGCTGAAGACGCCGATGCGGCCGCGGTAGATGAACTTCATGGGCTCGACGGCCAGGATGGTGGCGATGATGTCGTCGGTGTTGTGTTTGCGGCCGGACACGGTCATCAGGCCGTGCCGAGAGCCGCAGACGAACACCAGGCCGCCCTGTCGGCCGGCGGCGGCGTCACGCGCCGCCTCACACAGCTCCCGTCACAGCGCTCGTCAGGCATGCAACGGCTCGAGGTATTTACGTAACTAAGCCTGCTGTCAACCACAGTCGCCATCCGGACATACGCGGTTGGTCGTTCAGTTCAGACGGCAGTGCTATATTGCGCTGCAGGCGACGAGCTGAGAAGAAACTCAGGACCCTGCCCCGTAATCTCCTCGCTGGGCTCTCCCAGTCTCTGCTAGCTGAACTCCTAATCCATCCCTTCATCCGCTCGCTCCATTCCCTATCCTTGCCTGGTTCGGTTTTCCATCCCAATCCCCCTCAACCAGTGCCAGTCACCCTCTCTCTCCTCGCATTCGCGCCGGCCCTCCCTCTCCTCGCTACACCGTCCACCTTTTCCCTCCGCTCGGTGTGTTTACTTCCCGCCCTCCCTCTCTCGCTGCATCCTTGCCACCTTTCCCTTCCGCCAGCGGGCCCTCCCTTCTCTTGCTGCCACCCCTCTTCATCCCTTCCCTCCGCCAGCTGGACCTCCCTCTCTCGCTGCAGCCCCTCCGCCGCCGCGCCGGCCCCGCTCACCGGCCCGAGGAAGCCGAGGCAGGCCGCTGCGCCACGTAGTCCTGCTCGCCGAGCGTGGTGCCGTCGGCGCGCAGCGGGCGCACGCGGAACGTGTGGTTGGTGAGCCCCTGCAGGCCCCAGTAGCTGGTGCCGGCGGCGGCCGAGCTGACGCAGATCTCGCCCACCTCGTCGGTGCTGCAGAGGCGCGGCTCGCCCTCGCTGCGCACCACCACCGTCGTGGCTGCCGGCGCGCGCGCGGCCGTCAGGACACGGATCAACGCCGTGGGGCGGCCGGTACGGGGCCCACGGCTGTCAGGGCACGGACGGCGCAGGGAACATCACAGTCAACGTGCCGCATCACAGAAGAATGTCCGTGGGAAGCGACATTGCGGCGGTAAACTTGACTTTGTTGACAGTAAACGATGCTGGCACTTGCAGCATACCAGCGCATAAAATTAAGGGCGCCGGACAGCATTGTCCAGATTCTACGAGCGCGTCATGGCTAGTGTGGATGAACACGACTAGAAAACAGACGACAAACGCACGCCCCGTGATGGATGTGCGGTGCAGAGGGGCCTGGGCACACGCTGTCTCGAACGCCACGCATGAGACACGTTATGGCCGCGGCGTACAAGGCGGTCACGTCCCGCATCCATCCATATGCCAACTGTGATGACAGAGGTCATGTCACAACTCAAACTCTCACTGTCATCTCCACGTCGTCACTTTCTGTCACGGTCGTCAGCATTCATCGCGTCTCACGAGGCTCACTGCAGACGCGGCAAGGAAACATCATCATAAACCACCGACGCCAACAGGCGTCAGTGCGGACCGCGAGCACTGATGCCGTCCCCCTTCCCCTCCAGCAGCTGAGCACGAGCACAGCGCCCACCCGGCGGTCGGCGAGCCATCGGCGAGCCACGCCCTATCCGTGACCCTCCTCCCCCCAGAGCCTCCAACCGCGGCCGCCGGCCAGCGAGGGCAGCGAGCCGGGTCAGGGACGGCTCAGCGCAGTCACCGGCCAACCGCCCTGGGACGATCAGCCGCTCACAAACCCGGAGGGGTGGACCGCCGGCAGCTCCCACCCCTCGGCAGCACGGCAGGCGGCTCACCTCCGGGCAGCACCTGCCCGCAGTCCTGCAGCGTCAGCGAGGTCAGGCTGTTCTCCTGGTCGACGCGCACCACGCCGTGGCTCAGGCCGGCCATGCTGAGCACGCCCCGGCCCGTGGCGTTGGTGCCGCCCTGGCCCGGCCGGCGCACCGCCACCGTCATCGTCTCCGAGCTGCTGGCGCACGGGCAGATGGCGTCCGGCCGCAGCCCCTTCGACTGGAACACGCTGAGGAACTGGTCGCACGAGCTGAGCGACCACGGGTTGGCGCCGTCGGCCACCAGCAGCAGCCGCAGCGACGACAGGTTGATGTCCTTGTGGTCCTTGGTGGCCAGCAGGCCCCAGTGCAGGTCGCGCGACTTGACGATGGCGATGCTCGCTGCCGGAGGCGGGGGCGCCGGTCACACGGTGGGCACGGGTGCCGGGGGAAGCGAACGTCACGGCGGTGCTGGCGGCGGCCGGGCGTACAGACAGCACAGGCTGAGACCGGCCATGCTGAGGACGCCCCGGCAGACATACAACCGGACGTACAACCAGCCGGACAAACGAGAAGAGACAGGGCTGCGCGCGTCAGTGCTCTAGGTGCTCTATCATCCTACCCGCCAGCTCGGGGAAAGGGACACACACCCAAGAGCGGATTCCTAAGGGGGGGGGGGAGGGATCACTGTTGTGCACAGGAGCCTGGACACACCGCACAAAAAGGCACCGCCGTCCGACCCGGCACCAACCTTTGAACTTGGTGATCATCTGCATCCAGCTGGCCGGGTTGACCTTCATCAGCGAGTAGGGGATGAAGATGACGTGCATGCCGTTGAACACAGAGCAGAGCGTCGCGTGCCACAGGCCCACCTGGCGGCGCGACAGCGGACCGCTCACACACCGACCGTGCACCGCCGGCGGCGCCTCACGGCCACCATACAGAAGTACGGACGCTTCAGACACACGTGGACCACTCATGTTTGCACGGTCGCTCCCTGGTAACGCCGCCTGGGTCAGTGAGCGGAGCCAGCAGCGTATGCCAGCAGTAGTAAGTAACGGACGATGAGCGGCTAGTGGTGGCCATCGCGTGCTGGTTCTTACACGCAAGCACGCACGCACGCACGCACGCACGCACGCACGCACGCACGCACACACATATACCCGGCCCAGCGCGCCGTGCAGCACTAGAGACCGGCGCCCGCATCACTTCTCCCACGTCACGCCGCGCGCTTGCGCCGCCGCCACGGCAGTCGGCCGGGGCGGGCTCCTGCCGCACTCACCTCCCGCTTGAAGTCGACCACGCAGACGCAGATCTCGCCCTCGGTGTAGCCGCAGGCGGAGGTGAGCGTGCGACACTGGGCCAGCATGGCGGCCCGCGTCACCGTCACGCCCATCACCGAGCCGTCGCCGTCGGACGTGTACTGCGCGAGCACGACAGGCGGACGCCGGTGAGGACAAGGCGCGCGACCGCCAGCAGCCAGAGGGGGACGGCGGCGGAGGACGGCACCGGGGCTCGGGGAGACACTGAGTCGAGGTTGCGGGGACGCGCTGGGGCTGGGGCGCGACGCGGGGGCCTGAGTTAAAAGTCCGGGCCTGTGACGCGGGACCTGAGTTAAAAGTCCGGGTCTATGACGCGGGGATTGAGCTAAGCCAGGTTCGGACGACCAGTGTTATCATGGTGAACGGATGTCGGAGGCTACCAGGCCGCTCGCCAGGAATACGCCCAGGGTTGAAAAACAGCACAACCGCATCCGCTGGGTTCAGCACTGGGACAGTTCTAAAGCTCAAGGAAAAGAGGTTTGCTCCAAAGAGTTCACTATCACCGGTTACATCAGCTCTAATTCTATCACGAATGCCTTATTTCCGACGCCTCCGTCGGCGGGGGCGTCCCTCGCACACCGCGCCGGAGCAGCCCAGCGCGGGCGTTCGCCCCGTACCTCAGTGTAGGCGGGCGCCTCTCGCACACCGCGCGGAGCAGCCCAGCGCGGGCGCGCGCCCCGTACCTCAGTGTAGGCGGGCGTGTCGTCGTTGAGTCGCGGCGGCGGCTGCCACTCCTTGGGCGGGCGCGCCAGGTGCTCGGTGATGAACCAGTGGAGGCGCGGCCAGCCCTTGAAGGCGGCCACCTCGCCGCTGGCCGTCTTGGGCAGGCCCTTGTGGCACGGCTCGGTGGTGAGGGCCACCTGCACGCCGCAGCTACCCAGGAGGAAGCCGATCTGGAGCGAGCCGGCGTCCTGCCGCGCGCCACCAAGCGTCACACCACGCGCCGACACACGCGCGTCGGTGAGCGGGGACACACAAAACAGGGCCAGACCGCTGGTGTTCTGTTCTACGGGCTTCGCACTCGTCAAGTATCAGTATGCATGGATGCACCTCCAAGGAGCCAAGAACAGGCAATTCATTGACTTAAGATGTCACATTTGATCTTAAACTTGGTGTCATTAGGGGAAACTCACCACACATCACTTTTTGTCAGCTTGTGTGGAAACGTGCCAACTAGGAACACACCAGCAAAACCGGCCAAACCGCAAGAGTTTGAAAAGTACCCCCCCCCCCCCCCCAAACTAACGCATCAAAGAATCTGCTCACAATGCGTGAGACCCGAGTCACAACCTGCACTCCGCGAAGAAACCCGGCCACACAAACAGGGCCGGCTGGCAGCCAGCTGACGCCCAGCAGCTGTGGCCCCGCAGCAGGCCGGCGCGTCACGGCGTCCGACACGGTGCAGAGGGCCGTCAGCGCCGGCGGCGGCCGCCGCGCCAGACAGCCGCTGATTGCCGCCGAGCGGGGCCGACCGCTTGTGCAACGCGCGGCATCCGCCGGTACGGGACCCAGGGGCAGCGGCCGGGGGGGGGGGGGGGTGAGCAGGGGAGGAGTCGGGAGAGAGCAGAGAGAAAGAGGGGTCAGAGGTGAGTAAGCAAGAGGGAGAGGAGTGATTGGCCAAGGAGGAGGCGGGTGGACGGTGATGGGCTGAAGCAGAGTATGACGGGGAGGAGACGTCACGCTGCAATGGACGAGTGGGCGGTAGAAGCGCGGGAGTGACCACAGCGACAGAAACGAGGACGAGACGGCAAGAGTAAGGGAAGTGAATGAGTGACGCGTCGGGATGGAGGCGAAACGAAAGGCGAACGACGCGTGACAGGGAGCTGACGGACGTGCAGCGATCGCAGGGGGGGGGGGGGCGCAGACGCCAGGCCGGCGGCGACGAGCACCGCACCACGAGCCTCGCTCCACTCACCCGGCGCGTGATGGGCACCTCAATGGGCACGGGCACCATGCCGGCGTACAGGCAGCCGTAGAAGGCGCACATGAAGCTGATGGGGTCGCTGTTGGGGTACACCAGCGCCACCCGATCGCCCGGCTTGAGGTTCGTCTCGCCGCGCGCCTTGTTGAGCAGCGCGAAGGCGATCTTGTGCGCGCGGCTCAGCAGCTTGCCGTAGGTCAGCGGCACCGAGGCCCGGTTCGTGGCGTCCAGCACCGACGCGCACGACGCCTTGAACGTGGCCGAGCCGTACCGCTGCACGGCCGCCTCCAGGTTGCGCGGCAGGCCGGCCGGGATCTGGTGGCGAGGCGGAGTGTCAAGCGGAGTGCCGCGTACAGCGCGGCATCAGACGGCGGGTCGGGCTGGGAGCGGCCCGCGCCGGGGTGGGGGGACGGCTCGGGGACGGTAGAGCTCGCTGCTGCCTTTGAGGCGTGCGCGGCCCGTGGAGCGCCGCATACAGCGTGGCGTCAGACGGCGGGCCGGCCTGGGAGCGGCCCGCGCCAGGGTGAGGGGACGGCTCGAGGACCCAAGATGCTGCCTTTGAGGCGTGCGCGGCCGGCTGGTTCGTTTTACGCCGCACCCAAGCTGTTAACTGCCGTCTTGTCTGGCCTCGCTGATCGTGAATGAGTGCGCGCGTACGTGCGCGCGTGCATGTGCATGTGTGAATCACACTCTAAAACACTTGCTCAATTCCGCCCACACATCTGAGAGGGCGCATGAGCCATCGGCCGAGTATTGCGCAGTACGCCGAAACAGTCAGCGCCGTCAGTGCGAGTCGCCCGCGTCTGGCCGTCGCAAACAGGCCCGACTTGCTCCGACGGAAGCCAACTGGACGCTTCCGGGATGTCGCAGGGACCAGTGACGCACTGGTGAGTAGGTCGCGTTTGCAGAAGACTTTGTGAGCAGCGGCGGGCGCTGTGTGGCCGTGCCAGCGCACCGCCCCAAGTTGCATGACATCAGTCATTCAATCAACGGGCGGGTGAGTCGGTTAGCCCGAGGGTGCGCGTGCTGTCTGTCTGTCTGTCTGTCTGTCTGTCTGTCTGTCTGTCTGTCTGTCTGTCTGTCTGTCTGTCTGTCTGTCTGTCTGTCTGTCTGTCTGTCTGTCTGTCTGTCTGTCTGTGTCTGTCTGTCTGTCTGTGGGTGTGCTGTGACTGTCTGTCACTGCAACCAACGGTGACATCGAGGGACGGGGAGGGGTCACGGACCTGGTGTCTTGGGTGAGCGATGCAGCCGGAACGATCGCCGGTGGAAACATGGAAATGGCCACTTTGTGGATGCAGGTGAACACTTCGCACATTCATGCCGCGAAATCAAGACACTGAACCGTTCTTAAAACTATTCAGCCTCATTTAGACCTTTTTACACATCATTCAATAAGTATAACACTTAACCACTTACCTTTTTAATATGTGCACTTACACCTTTGCACATGCCATCTAATTGCAATGTGTATAATATTACACCACATAGCTTTTTGAGATATGATGATATTAACATACCAAAGCCCAACGTGAGCATCTGCATATTCGATATTTATGACTGCTGCCATGCGAATACAGAATCGGTGCAGACGGCCGCAGGCATACAGTACATCGCGCGTTATTTCCCACTCGATTTCACAAACCGCCTGTTGTAACCTTGCCTGCCCTCCCGGTACGTGCCCGCAGCGACCGCGCCCCGGCTGGCCTACCTCCAGGTGCTCGCCGACGGCCGGGGTCATGGGGCCGCCCTCAGGCTTGGGCGCCGCCGGGTCGCGCACGCGCGCCGCCATCTCCAGCTCCTCCTCGTCGTCCATGTAGAACTCGGGCAGCGGGCGTCGCTTGGGCCGCTTCAGGGTGTTGAGCAGCTGCTGGATCTTGGTGGACACCTTCCAGCGGGCGGTGGCTGTGGACGCGGCTGGCGTTAGCACGACCTTCCACTAGCTCACAGCGCGAGCGACTGGTCGTCGGCGTGACGACCGCCCACATCGGCCGCAGCCGGGGAAGAAAGCACGGCAGGCGGCGAGCTTCGAACCCGCGGCCGTTCGGTCGGTGAGCGGCGTCGCTACGCCGTCGACAGGCCGCCTCGGTCCGCGCCGCCGGCGGAGACAGTGGTCCGCCGCGCTCAGGGAGGGCCACCGGCGCCGGCGCGACTGATGGTCGCCTGGGACCAGGCCAGCTCGGTGGCCGCCGCCGTCGTCCAGCGCGCAGCAGGCTCGGCGGGCGCCGACAGCCACACCGGCCCACCAGCCGATCTCTCACATAACGGACCGGACAGGAACTTACCGCAGCGACGCAGCCAAACCCAGCCCAAATCCCCTACAGCGACCGCTCGCGAGGCCACGGTCCGGCGGTGACGTGCCGGAGCCGCTCAGTGACGGCCCGACCCACGCTCGGCGGCGCAGACGGGCCCGCGCGTGCCTGTCTGCGCCTCAGAGCGGCCGCGTCACCGCTCCCGGCGGTGAGTCAGGGCGGCCGGCGGCGGCGGCGGAGCCAGGCGCCCGCCGGAAGGCCGCGGCGCCACGCCGGCGCGCCGCCCGGCCCGCAGCACCGTCTGGAGCCCCGCTCACCGCCGCTACATCCGCGTCTGGCCGACCCTCCGCGTGTGAACGGAGCCTTGCACTGCAGCACTCCCGGCACACACTGCCACACCGCGGCGGCCGTCCTCGCGTCGACAGGACAGGTCGCTGACACAGGACGCGAGACGCCGAGTCGCCCCGAGAGAGCACTCGGTGGCGCCAGCGCGGGGTCAGCGAGGCGCCGTCGCGGCCTCGGCGCCGGCCGAGTCGTGACCGGCGCACGCGAGCTGTCCAAACAGAGACCGGTCTCGGGCGCCGGCCGCCCGGCTCTCCGGCGCCGGCCGTCCCGAGGTCAACCGATCGCCCGGGGCGCGGCTCCGGTCGGCACGCGTCCTCCACCACCGCTGTCGAGGCTGCCTCACTCTACCGAGGGGCGCCGGCGAGGCGAGACGAGGCGGGACGAGACACAGCGAAGCGGTCGGGCCGGCGGTGTGGCGTACGCGATGCCAGCCGGCAGCGAGCCCGTCAGGGCGGCGCGCCCTGCCGACGGCGCCCTGGGCCCGGCAGGGCTGACTCACCGCGGACAACGCTGTCGGACGACTGAGAGCACTGGGCGGCTGAGCCCGGCGGGCCAGACGCCTCCCACCGCCGGCCGGCGAGCAGCCGCGCACCACAGCCGCGCAAACCACACACGAGGGTCGGCTGGCGTGCGGGCCGGCGCCGGCGCCGTGCGGGGGCGGCCGGCTGCGGCTCCTCCGAGCCCACTGACGCCGCACCGAGTAACCCCGTCACACCGGTACCGGCGGCACCGGCCGGCAGCGGCCTTGACTGAGGTGCCGGCCGGGCTGCACCGCACCGCGCCCGGACGCGGCACGACAAGCCGGCCTCCCCGCCGTCAGCACGCAAAACTCCACACGCTCTCCGACACGGAACACGTCTTTTTCTAGGCCGTACGGACGACAGCGCGGAAATTCAGCAAGTCGTGACACACCTGCTCCTGGCTGCAAGCCGACCACGCCAGCCGTCACTGGCGTTGGTGAGGGAGGCGGGGGGGGGGGGGGGGGGGGCGGCGGACATACCTCCGTGCGCCTCGTCCAGCGCGGCCGTGATGCTGGTGCTGCTGTTGACCCGCACTGAGGCCATGTGCGGCGGCTGGTAGCGCGAGCTGCGCCCGCTGCCCGTGTTGTGCGTCACATCCGGCGGCTCGCAGTCTGGCGGGGACGGGCGGCGCCGGCGGTCACACACAGCGACGTGGGGCACGGCGCGCACAGCTGCGCCCGGCGCCGGCGGTCACACACAGCGGCGTGGGGCACGGCGCGCACAGCTGCGCCCGGCGCCGGCGACGGCCAGCCACTCGACGGACGGCGTGTGGTCACTGACAGACGGCATGTGGTCACTGACAAACGCGTGTGGTCACTGACAGGCTGCATGTAGTCATAAACAAACGGTGTGTGGTCACTGACAGACGGCGAATGGTTACTGACAGACGGCATGTGGTCACTAACAGACGGCGTGTAGTCACTGAAAAACATGTGGTCACTAACAGACATGTGTTCACTGACAGACAGCATGTGGTCACTCAACAGACATCATGTGGTCACTGACAGTGGGCATGTGGTCACTGACAGATGGCGTGTGGTCAATAACAGACATGTGGTCACCGACAAACGACATGAGGTCGATGACAGACGGCATGGAGTCACCGACAGACAACGTGTGGTCACTGACAGACGCGTAGTTACACATGCGATGTACCGCCATACGCAAGAAGTCAAGACTGATCTAAAGAACATCGCCTCGCCCATACACAACATGCGGTAGCTTATACGAAGCAGAATCAAAATAGCAGATCAGGTCACGCGTGAACGACACACCACGTCACTCACAAACCATATGAGGTCATTCATAAGCTACGCAAGGTGAGGCCATACCGAACGACCTACTGCAAGTAATTAAGGATGGCCTCCAGCCAATCGGAAACGTCGCCGACAACACGCTGTTGGTCTGGTGCTCAGCGGTCTGTCAGCGGCACCAACCAGACCGCCATTCACGGGGACAGACAACAGGCCTCGGTGTTTGCAGCGCGGACACCAACACCCACATCCGCTCAGACGCCCCGCATACTCCGGTCTTCAAGGCATGACGGGCGTCCACAAACAGACCACAGCTGCCCGCCCGCATCCCGATTCGATTACACATCCCTCGAGCCGGCGCGCCAGTTCCGAGCGGTCCGCGCGCTAACACCCGATCGATGAGCCGCTGGGCGGCGGGGTCCGGTTCCGCTCGGCGGCGGCCGACCGCCGACCCCGTCCGCGGCACCCGACGGGAACGGAACGCCGGACCGACGGTGGGACGGTGGAACGCTGGACCGACGGGAGGTTCGTCGGCAGCCCTCGCCAGCCGGCGGCAGCCGCCGCCGTCACGGCCTGGGTGCGCTGACTCCACGCGGCTGTTTGCAAAATAAACAGGCGGCCGGGAGCGCGGGCGGACGGGCATGGGCACTCACAGGGCGCCAGGTTGTCCATGACCTCGGAGAGCTGGGTCATCTCGTCCCGCAGGCGGGCGCGCTGCCGCTCCTGGTTGGACGAATGCGAGCCGCCGCTCAGCCTGTCGGCGGCGCCGGCGCCGTTAGTGGCCGGGAGAGGCACGTGAGGCTCCCCAGCAGGTGCCGCCCGGGCACCGAAAATGGGCTCCGACGGGTGATGACGTGAGGGGGCGTGTTAGAAGAAGTGACGCTTGGACGAATGTAACATAATCCACGATGATGCTCTACACAAATGTCGATGAATTCGAAAACAGCCTACTTTAACAAAAATTAGCGAAGACACCGGCGCGTTTGAAGTCACCAATCAATTGAGACGCAATAACATTTCCGAGCACTTGACACATGCCATCATTGATGTCCGTAAAAACGACAGTTACGTGACTGGTTGAGGTAGATTGAACGAACCACATGATGCCATTGTCGCACAATTTCAGCGCTGTCATGACAGCTGTTCCGTTATCGGGCGAAAACACCATCGCGCACCGGTCGCCGCGCCTCCGCTGCACCTGCGGCCGGGCGGCCACAGCCCGTCCTCAGGCCGCAACCCTCTCCACACACTCCCCACACAGGGGTCGGCCTGCTGCGGACCAACGGCGTGACGTCCGCGTGGCTGACTGACGCAGCGCGACGCAAACAGCATCTGGAAACACTGGAGCAGCAGCGACACCCCGGCGCAGGCACGGCCAGCCCCGCCGGCTAATCAGCGATGACTCACTTCACGGTGAGGTCGGGGTCTGAGCGCGTCTGAGGGCAGGTGTTCTGAACGGAGCTCAGGGCGGGTTCTAAGCGCGACGGGCGGCTGTTTTTTCAGCGGGGGAGACGGTGGGTTCTGAGCGCACGTGAGGGCGGTTTCTGAGAAGGCTTGGGGCGGGTCTTCTGAGCGGGACTGAACGTTGTTTCTAAGAGGGGGCTGGCGGTGTGTTCTGAGCGCGCGTGAGGGCGGTTTCTGAGCAGGCTTGGGGGCGGGTCTTCTGAACGGGACTGAGCGCTGTTTCTAAGCGAGGGCTGACGGCGGGTTCTGAGCGCATGTGAGGGCGGTTTCTGAGCAGGCTTGAGGGCGGGTCTTCTGAGCGGGACTGAGCGCTGTTTCTAAGCGAGGGCTGACGACGGGTTCTGAGCGCACGTGAGGGCGGTTTCTGAACAGGTTTGAGGGCGGGTCTTCTGAGCGGGACTGAGAGTTGTTTCTAAGCGAGGGCTGACGGCGGGTTCTGAGCACACGTGAGGGCGGTTTCTGAGAAGCCTCGAGGGCGGGTCTTCTGAACGGGACCGACGTCCGTCTGTGAGCGGACCAGACGGCACCCTGGGAGGCTCCCTCAGGGGGGCAGGCCTACAGGCCGGTGGCGTGAGCGGGGCTGAGCAGCGGGCCCGGTCAGCGTGGGCTGCCGGCGAGGTCGCCCGGCTGCGGTGCCGTCACCTCCCACCGGTCCAGGTGTGTGCGGGGCGGGGCGGCGCGGCTATTGCGTGAGCCTGACAGCTTCGGCCACGCCCGCCGCCCGGCGCCGGCGTCGTCCAAACACGCAACGGCCGGCACCCGATATGAATCTTATATGTACAGGCTGTGGACGGGTGTAATGACACCTGTCAGAGCTTTGTGTCGTACAAATTACATCCAAAGCTTCGGCAAACAACTCTAGCGTGACAGCATGTTTTCGTCGGACAAGCCGACTTGTCCGCTGGCTAGGCTCCCACAGCGCAAAGTCTGTGGCGACCAGACCAGGACTAAAAATAATGATGCCTCACCGGGAGGATGTTTCGAAAGAGAACCTTCCCTGAATCGGGACATTTCTGCTGGCGTTTGACGCCTGAGGACGTGACCCGCACGGCCGACCCCGAATCGGAGCGGAGCGGAACCGGTTCCGGCGCGCCACCGACAATGCGCGGCGGATCTCCGGCAGATAAGACAGTGCGTCACCCGCCAGTGCGGCGTGGCTAGTCCGAACCACACCGTCTAGTTCATCGGAAACACGGCCTCCGGTCGGCGAGTTTCCGCGCCTTCCGTCCCGCACGCGCGCCGCGGCCTCCAGCGCCGGCCGGGCGGTATCTTCGCTGCGAATGCGAGGGCCCTTCTGAAGGCCAGGACGCATCATCACCGGCAGCAGTGAGGCAGGGCGCGAGCAGGCAGCATTCGACTGATCTCGCGAGATACAACGCATTATCCTTTGGGAGCAGCTGTGGCACTCGAGGCGTCTTCAGAAAGAGGTGTGCGATTTACCCGCATGGGAACTTTCACACTCGACAGGTCTTCCGCAAGAGGTACTGTTTACTCGCATGGGAGCTTTCGCGCTCGATTGGTCTTTAGACAAGTACTTTTTACCGGCATGGGAGCCTTTGCCCTCGATAAGCCTTCAAAAGGAGAGGTACTGTTTACCCGCATGGGAACTTTCGCACTCGACGGGCCTTCAGCAATAGGGGTACTCTTTAACCGCATGGGAGCCTTTGCCCTCAAAAAGTCTTCAAAAAGAGAGGCATTGTCTACCCACATGGGAACTTTCGCACTCGACAGGTCTTCAGCAAGAGAGGTACTGTTTACCTGTATGGGAGCTCGTTTACCCGCATGGAAACTTTCACACTCGACAGGTCTTGAGAACGAGATATACTGTTTACCCGCATGAGAGATCTTGCACAGAAGTCTCAAGACATCAATATACCGTTTATCCCTACCAGCGACAAAAACAGCTTCGCTTTAACGATCTCACGAGACCCAGTTTCACGCGAGACTTCGCCTCCATCACCGCCCAGAAACAATGCACTCCCGTGCACAGACAACCTAATTTCGGCCGCCGCACCGCCCTCCGGTTCGCTGGCGTCTCGTGCCGCCACTAACGGCCGCCAGGTGTGCTGCGGTCGGCGGCGGCCCGGGCAGCGCACCTGTTCTGGACGGGCGGCGGCAGGGGCGGTGGCGGCGGCTGCGGCTGCTGCGGCGGCGGCGGCTGGCCGGCAGCGGCCGGCGGCGGCGCGGCCGGCCGGGCGCGGCCCTGCGGCGGCGTGTCGCGCGCCGAGCCCAGGCTGCTGGTGTCGGACGGCGGCGGGCCCTGGTGCCGCGTCGCCCGGTCCACCTCCGGCGTGGCCGGCTCGCCCGGCACCGAGCTGTCGTCCTCGTCCGAGCTCGAGTCTGCCGGCCCGGCGCGACCAGCTCAGACGCACCGATGCACACACACGCCGGCTGACACACGGGCCGACAAACACGCGGACCGACCCGCTGGACTAACGGCACACGAGCTGACCGACCGACAGCTTCACGCGTTGAAGATCAGCCGCCACAGGAGCCCGCGGGAGCCCACAGCCGGACACACGGGCCGACCGACAGCGGTCCGGTGCGGTCCAGCTGGTCCCACGCGCTCCCGAGAGCGGCGGGCCGACGGGACGGGCGGCCGCGGCGCCGGCCCAAACAGCCGAGCGGTGAGTCAGCGGTGCCGGCGGCTGGCGGCGGGGGTGCCCGACCATCACTGGCGCCCGCGGCCGCGGCGGCCGCCGCCGGCACCGCTCGCACGGCCAATATGGCATACCGCATACACACAGACAGACAGACAGACAGACAGACGGACAGACAGACACAGGCAGAGGCTGACGCTGCTATACAGGGAGGCGGCCGCCTTTGGTACGTCCGGCTCGGCGTTAACAATGGGTCACTTTACCATTTCATTTGCATGAGAAGTCAGCCCTCATTTTCCTAAGCTGGCCATTAAGGTAATCACTTCCCACATTTATCAATAACTACACGCAAAATGATTCGGACTGGGAGCAAAAACCCGCCAGCCCTGTTGAGCAAGGCACAGCTTGTGACCCGCCTCGGAACACATGACTGGTCCCCGGTGCTGAGCAAGGCACAGCTTGTGACCCACCTCGGAGCACATGACTGGTCCCCGGTGCTGAGCAAGGCACAGCTTGTGACCCGCCTCGGAACACATGACTGGTCCCCGGTGCTGAGCAAGGCACAGCTTGTGACCCGCCTCGGAGCACATGACTGGTCCCCGGTGTTGAGCAAGGCACAGCTTGTGACCCGCCTCGGAGCACATGACTGGTCCCCGGGCACAACTGCAAACCACCGACCAGCAATGCGAACCACCGCCACCCGCCACACAGACACCGAAGCTTACCGACAGACGCACTCTCGGACTGGAAGCAGCAACGTGCATCACAGGGGATCAGCGAGTACGACCCTGAGTCGAGGGACCCGCGCACAGCAGCGCGCCGCCCGCGGGGAGCCGGCGCCGACGCTCGGCCCGAGCGGCCGCCACTCACCGTTGTCCGAGTCGCGGCGCCGGCGTCGCTCCGCCTCCGGACTGCGCGCCATCACCGACTGCCGCTTGGACGGCATGGGCAGCTGCTTGGGCCGGCTCTGCATGGCGGCGATGGCCTGCTGCACTGCCTCCTGCCGCACCTCTGCCGCGCCACACCGCACCGCCGTCAGTGCCGCGCCCGGCCTCAGTGTGTTATGGACGGCGGCGGCTCGTCTCATTGCATCATCCCGTCATCAGCGCTTCCATCGTATCAGCGCAATTACGCTGGCATATTATCACCCACGCCAGCACCAGCTCAGAAAAGATACCGTCATCATAGGCGCTGACAACGTGGCTGATAGAACAGTGAAGGCTGCTGTCAACCACAATGTCAATGTCAACAACACGAATGGTATCACCGTCAACACCGAAACAACAACATGCACCATCAACACCATCACGGGCAACAACACGGCTTCCTCCCTCTGCACGTGACCGGAACTATTTAGAATCACAAATCACCGCCGCCACCACGCGTCGAGCATCACCAATAGCGGCCAGCACCAGCGCCGATCGGTGCGGGCGCCGGCAGCCAGCGTAGCCCGCTGTGACGCAGCGCGCCGCCGCTCCGGGCGTCTGCACCGGCCGCGGCGCCGACGGGGTCGCCCGACCGGGCCGGGCCGCGCCGGCGGCTGACGGAGCCCGGCCCGGGCGGCGGCGGCTGCCGGCGCGCCACCGCCCACCACCGGCGCGCGCCTCACCTGAGTGGTAGCGAGATTCATTCCTTGTGACGCGACGCTGCGCGCGCCGGCGGGCCCGGCTGCTGGGACTGGCGGCGCCCTCACCTGCGGCACGGGGCGGCGGTCAGCCGGGCGGCAGCGACGGCGGCGGCGGCGGCCCACTGCGGCCGCCCGCGCGCAGCCCTGCAGCCGGCAGCTGCTCCATACCATGCAATGCGTGCAAAAGTCAATGTCACCGCATTCCGGGCGCAGCATGAGATCAGGCGCTGCCGTCAGCGGGCAGGGTTCAGGCGGGCGCCGGCGGCGGCGCGGCTACACATGTCACACCGGGTGGCGGGATTATTTATCGGCGCATGCGACTGTTTGGATTATTGGCGTCGTCGCGCCATGATGGAGTTCGGGCTCGACGGAGATTGCTGAGGACGGACTCACACCCGGATCTCGCACTACACGGACGCCCTTAAGCCTTCACCCCTCAATCACTGACGCCCTGGCTTCACGTAACGTCGGACCACCGACTCCGCGGAGGTCGGCAAGGGAGGGGGCACGACCACACCACCCGTCACGAGACGCAGGCGAGTACGGACTGGCCGCCGGTCGGCCAGAGCAGCGGCCGGCACATCGGGAAAGCGGGACACTGGTGCCGGACAAAATCGGAGATGAGGCGCGCGACGACGACGTGGGGACGCGCCCGCGGCCGTCGGAAGCGAGCCGTGGGAGGCGCGCGCCAGCCGTGAGAGCGGCCGGTCGGAGCCGGCGCGGCGCCGACGGGCCCGCCGCACTGCGGCCGCCACGCAACCCGCTCCGAACCGAGGGCAAAAACATGCAGCGCACTGCAGCCGTGCAGAGCAGCTACGGCGCGGCGGCTCCCGACCCGCCGGCCAAAAACCGAACCACTAGCACGAACTGGCGACAAACGGCGCAACCAAACAACCGGCACAATGGCGAGCGCCACCGCAAACAAAACCAGACGACGCGCCGGCGGAACCGAAACAGAGGCGGCAGGCACAACAATGGGGCCCGGGCGCCGCCGGCGGCACTGCGAGCGCGTGCGGCGGCCGCGTTACCACCGGCGGCGCCCGCTGGCGCCGTGACGATGACGCCGAGCGAGCGGTGAAAGCCGCGCCGGTGACACAGCCGTGCATCAGCAGGAGGCACCGGCGGCCAGCGGGCCGGGCGTGCGGGCGGGCGGGCGGCGGGCGGCGGGCAGGCGGGCGGGCGAGCGGGCGACAGGCTGCAGCCCCAGCTGCGCCGCGCCGAGCCGACACGGACACACGGACGACAGACACAGGCACACGCCGCCGCCCACCTGATGACGACTTGTGCTGGCGGCTCTGGCGCGGCAGCGGCACCGGCGGACTCTCTGTCGGGAGGCGCCACACGGCTCGGTTAGGCGGCGCCGGCCGCAGCCGACGGGGCCAGCAGTCACAGCGCGCGGCACACCCTGACCCTCCCCTCCCCGCCGCCGACCGCAACAGGCTGGGTTGCCAGCCCACCAGCGGACGAGCGTGAGTCGTCGACCGGCGACGCCGTGCTCACATACGGGCCCGCTCACCTTCACAGCGCGGGGCGTCGACCGACAGCACCGTGCTCACTCACGGGTCCGCTCCACTTCACACGAACTCGCGTCACCGCCGCTAACCACGCGCGGCCCTTGCCGCCACGAATAACAACAATCGTTAAGTATACAAAACAATCAAAACAAACACCATCATAATGACAATAAGTTACGTTTTTCCGCCGCATATAGCTGCCTTTGTCACAGCACTGCAAACTCCCACGCCGGTCGCTGCGAAACCGCTCAGTTAAATTTTGGCAAAAGGCGAGACTCAAATCGCTCAGGTCTAATGACCAAAATTTCAATGAAGCGGCGACCCCGCCACTGCGCCCTCTGCAAGTCTGGTGTCCAGCGACGGAACGGGTGACTGGTGCGAGTCGCGAGCAACACCACCAGCAAGCTGTTCGGCCGGCGACCCAGCCGCTGTTATCGGTGCGCGAGCGCCGCCGCCGCCCGCGGCCGCCGCTGACCTGCGGCCGCTGGGCCCAGCCCGGGGTGGCGGGCGGCGGCGGGCGGCGGCGGCCGGGGACGTGGGAGTGTCCGTCGGGGCCGAGGTCGAGCCGGTGTCGACACGACGGCCGACGGCCGCCGGCCGCGCCGAGTGGCGACGGCCCGGCCGCCGCCTCACCCGCGCTCGCAGCGCGGCCCGCCGGTTAACGAGCGCAGGCCAGAGACTGGCACCCGGACGAGGTGGAGCTCGGCTGATCCCGGCACGTGACAATGGCCCTGCCCTGACGGCGCGTGCCGTGGGCGTGAGCGCGCGGCCGCCGCTGCCAGTGCGTGCGGCGGTGCGTGAGTGACGTCACGTGCGCGCTCGCGTCGCCCATTTGTCCGGACGCGCACCACGCTTCAGGTACGATGTCATTCACACAATGATAACGTGGGAGTATTACCAGGGTCAACGCACAACGTGAGCGGCTGGCCGCAGACAGATACGGCCTTCTGTTCGGTGAACGATCCATCAAAGAGGACTCGGGGGACAGCTCACGGTCATATTCGACGGAGCACGATCAGCGGAGTAACCGTCAGCGAGCTCCAGTGCGCACTGCACATCCTCGCTCAGCGCTAGAGCGCTTGATTCGCAATCGCGAGGGTGTGTGTTCGAATCCGACTACCGCCGCCTTTCTGTGCCATCCGCGACGATCCGCATGAGATCTTACGCCTCCGGTGGCCTAGGCGACCGAATGCCGCGTCAAATAAACATCACCATGGCCCAACACACCGAACGTGGTCACACCAGCATTCCTGTTAACTCTCGTTCAGCAAGGTCCGGCGCTTAGTCAGGCAGCTCGCTCAGCGTCCGCCAATCGCAGCCGGCGGGGTCACGGGTCAATGCCATTTGCAGCGCGCCGTTCATACGCTGCAGCCCAACTCTGATTGCCGACAGCGAAGCGTCGAACCATTTCGCTGTGATAGCTCGGAACTAATGCGTGATTGACTTCAATCGGTACCGTGATTGATGAAAATCTGATTTGCGACTGATAGCAGACCGCCGTTTGCGTGATAACTCCGTCACGCGGCATCGCCCGTCAAATGCGGCCAAAATTGATCGCGTTCAGTCCCGGGGTGGCCCGTCTGCCGCCGCCGCGGCCCGCACGGACCGCGCGTCTCCATCGTCTGCAGCGCGAGGATCTGCCGCCGCCGGCGCCCGCCACATGAGGGGGGCCAGCCCGGCGGGCGGACGGAAGCCGGCAGGCGCGGCCGCGGCGTCAGCGGCGCTGCTGACGTCACATGACGTCACGGCGCGGCCGTTCAACCCGCCGCGCCGCCGCCGCGCTGAGCGCCTTTGTTTACGCGGCGCGCACATCGCACCCGTGATCGGGGGTGAAGAGGGGAGGGAGGGGGAGGGGGGGGGGGCACAGCGGGGCGGCGACGGTCCACTCCCGAGGACGGTCACTGGGCCAGGGGGAGCGTGGGAGGGAGGAGAGGGGCCGGCTCCACCGTCGCCTGCGTGACAGCGCCCCAAACCCGATTTGTCGCGCGCGCGGGGCGCAGGAAAAATGATGGGAGCTGCTTTGCACCACCTACTGCTGCGATCCTCCCGGCGGTTGCAGAAAAGCTTGCCGGCGGAGGTGGAACTGGCTTAGCCGGGCGTCGTCTCCCCGCCCGATTGCGCCGGCTCAACAACACCACCTATCACCAAGGCCATCCATCAGACCGCGCCGGTCCGTGTGCCCCTGGAGCCGGCGTCGCGAACAGACCGGCGACGCGCACGCGGCGCGCCGCCAACGCCGACAAGAAGCGGGCGCGTCAATCATCCCGCGCGTCGCGCGCTGCAGACCCGGCGCTAGGGACACTGGCCACACGCGCGCGCCGACTCACGACACAGAGCGGCGGGGCGGCGGCCGCGGTACGCGCCACACACGCCGCCGGGCGGGTGTCCCGCGCAGCGCGCGGCGAGCAGGGGCGTGGTCTGGGCCCCGCTGAAACGGCACCAGACCAGGAGGCCGACAAACATCAGCGCACAGTGGGCGATTAATACGCATCGCACGCGGTCAACCCATACTTCACGGCAACGTCGGTCTCAAAGTGCACGCCCGTGGCTCCCTGACGCTGATGCTCCGGTCGTTCCTGTGGTTACGAGGGGGGGGGGGGGCGGGGGGCGAGGCCACCAGGGCCGCCATTTGCACGCGGCAGTGGTTGTAGTTCGCTGCCGTCCCTGCTCAGCTGGAGAACAGTGAGTTTGCCTACCCGACTGGCCGGGCAGGTACGGCGCCAGCAGCTTGCTCCGCTTCTTCTCGTAGCCCTTCTGTGTGATGTCGCCTGAAACAAAACAGACCGCGTCACCCAACGGCACGCCGGCCATTACCTGGGCAGCACCTCGCTGGCATGTGGCGGCTGCTCGCTTTTTTCGGACTGCGTTGCTGGAAACCAAAGATGAATGCATCCGACAATAACCAACGGTAGTTTTACCTTGTACTGTTACGTCGTTATTTCCAGTCGAAATCCTGACCCAGAATGTGCTCGGTAACTCTGTTCCAAAGTCAATTTTGTTTAGATGACCTGGACGAGTTGATCATTTAAACCATCAGCGGTGTGGCATGTCTGTTTGATGGGTCATGACGAATACTTTGAGGAGTTCATCAAACATGGAATCTTGAGGGGAGGCAGTGGAGTTCTGAACATCCCGCCTGGAACCAGACAATGAACCAAAAACCAACCTCATAAGGACCAAGCATGTTCACCATCTCCGAAAAGCCTGCTCCCTCCATTCTTACATCGCGTGAATTCGCAGGCAAATACTATTACTACGAGCGGAGCAAAACGCGGCGTGAAAAACCGATTACATAACGATTCACAAAGATAGCTTCCAACATCTCACGGACAAAGAAAGAGATACCTTACTGCACCTCGCGAACAAAGATAGCTTTCTGCACATCACGGACAAAGAGCACACCGGCCACATGCCTCTCGGAAGAACAAAGTGAACTCTCGACCACGCGCCGTTCAGCGCCCACAGGATGTCTCCAATCGCCCGAGAGAGGGGGGGGGGCGAGGGGAGAGGCCCCGGGTAGTGGATGGGCAGACCTCCAACCAAATGTTGAGCGGCCTCAGAGACGGTGACGCATCTCTAACCGCACGCCTCCGTGCTGATGCGCATGCACGTCACGCGCCACACTGCGCACCGCCGCGGCGTTCACGAGAACCGTCCAATCTGCGCGCCTCCGCCCGCTCCGCGCGCCACCGGCCGATCCTCCTGCGCTCGCGCTGCCCATGTTTCGGCGGCGGCGCGCGCGCAGCGGCCCGACCGCTGGTGTTTCCATGTCGGCCCGTCACGCCTCACATTTCCAGCCGGAGACAGATAGCCGGCGCGGAGCGGCCCGCCTGGCAGCGGCGGCGATCCGTCTCCCGTCCACCAAACACCATCCATCGCGGCCGAGATTAGGCGGCGGCGGCGCTCCCGCGGCCAGGGCCGGGTCGGGTCGGGTCAGGTCAGGTCAGGTCAGGTCAGGTTAGGTCGGGCCGGGTCAGGTCAGGTCGGGTCAGGCCGGGCCGGAGGGGCGCGGCGGCCCAGGTGAGCGGCGTCGCCGCCTGGACACGTGGGCACCGCGCGGCCCCGCCGGTCCCCCAGTCGCGGCGACCGGCGCTTGTGTAACACACCGCCGGCCGCCGCCCGTTTGGAAACCCGCCGCCGTCGGCGACGTCAGCGAGTCTGGACGCCGGCACCAGGCACCACCTGCAGCGCCGTGATCAGCGGCCCGAACGACAGTGGACACCGGCGCAGCTCTGGCCTCGGGCACTGCGGCAGGTCGCCCTGAACACCCGCCCGCCCTGCGACCGACGGCCAACAGCGGGCCGGGCCACGGTGCCGACCTCGCCGCGGCGCCGGCCTCGTCAGCGGCGTTCCAGCCGGTCGCCGCACGTGTCCTGGCTGCCGAGCGGATCCGCATGCTACCCTCCCCAGCGGCAACGTCCGCCCCCCCCCCCCCCCTCCCGTCAGGCCGGCGGGGCTGTAAGGGCCTGCGGTGCGTCTCGTCCGCCCCAATCAGGGCCAGTTAGCGCTGGGCGCTGTGGCGCACCCTCAGCGAGCCGAGCTCGGACGCCCGGCCCGCCGACAGCCCGCGTCGTGCGACTGAGAGGCCGGGTCTCGGCGGCGTTCCCGGGGCGTGGCCGAACACCGACCGCAGCGGCCGCAGCGGGCGCCGGCCCGGTCGTACCGGCCGCTTGCCTCTCGTCCACTCACGGGGCGGGTTCAGCAAGGGCGGCCGCGGCAGCGGGAGGCGAGGGGGGGGGGGGGGCGCCCGGCGGTCGAATGCGCCAGGTCAGTACTGGAGCGGGTAGGCAAGCCCGCGCCGCGGGCGGCACCAGCGGCGGCGAGGAACGACCAGCGGCGGACGCGGAGACGGGCCGGGCGCCGTGCGTCGGCAGGCGGGCAGTCACCGCCGCCAAATATTTACGGCCGGGCGGAGGGTGTGGGCCGGCGCGGCAGACGAAGGCCGCCCCGCCAGCTGCCGCCGCACGCGAACACAACACAAACAGCGGCCGCCGCTCCCTCGCTCAGCTGAGCCGGTGCTCCCCGCGGCGGCGGCTCCAGGCGGGCGCGGCGCGCACGCCGGGCTCGCGAACGGACGGGCCGCACGCACACACGCCAGCACGCAGCCAAGCTCTGCAATCACGACCTTCCCCAGTACCGAACGACCGCAGCGCGACAGCTTGCACAATATCCAGACGCGCGCCACCGAACTTTGCATGCGTCGTCACCAGAAGCGCCGCGACCGCACGCAGGGTGAAAGGAGCTGCGGTCACACTCTGGCGCTATCTGTGAAATCTGATCTTGGCACCGGAGGTGCGCGTGCGGCCGCCAGTGGGTCAGTAACGCACCGCAGGGACACCCGTTCTGATGTGCGCCAGCTGCGCGCCGGCCGGGCAGCCATGTCAACGAGCTCCGGTTCATCCCAGCTGATGACCGCTTTCTCCTTCGCGGCGTTTTGCTTACCGGGTGTGATACTGATCACGCTTGGTCGATCCGTCATGCTGAGCTGACCTGAATCAGCTGGTTTGATGCCGTGTCGGATAACCCCGCGGTACAGTGACACGGGCTACGAGATAACCGGCCGGCCGGACCCGCGCGCTTACAGCTGTACATGCCCCGGAGCGCTTGACGATAAGGTCCATCGCTGGCGATCATAGCCAGCGACCAGCATAATCCGCAGTCCAACACGATCTGCAAAGCCCGCCGACCAAGTACGGACCCACCCACGTGCTGCCACACAGCCCGGTAAACAGGACTCCTCCGACCACTGACAGCACGAACACCGCTCAGCGCCACTGCAGCTCTGCAAACAAGGACTACCCCGGCTCGGCGCTGCCGCCCGCTCCGCGCGCCCAGCTCCTCGAGCGGACCGGCTGACCGTGCCGTCGCTGCGGCCACCCCGCCGCTGCGCCAGCCGTGCCGGCTCGTGAGGCGCGGCGCGGCGCGGCGCGGCGGCGTGCCGGCACGGCGGCAGATCACCCGAGACCGGCCGGCGACGCTGCCAACCAGGCCACGCGGCCGCGTCAATTAACGCGCCAGCCGATGCGGCGGCCATTTGGACGGCGTCCGGCCGTCAGCGGCCGCCGGTCCGCCGGCCCGCCTCCCCAGCCCGGCCAGTCGAGCTCCCCGGCCGCCAGCCACCCAGGGGCGTCAGCCCCCTCCGCACGCATCCGCGCCGACTCGGCGGCCGGCGGTGAGCGCGACCCGGCGCGGACGCGTCCCGAACCTGAGCCGATCTCCCTGCCGACGGACACAGGGGACGTCCTCTGTCAGACGGCGGCGGGCGCGCCTCCTCCGTGACCCCGTCCCGCTGTGCGCGCAGTCAGCAGCGGCGGACGTCGGCCAACGATGGACCGTCGGCGGGAGGGTGGCGAGCACCGAGCGGTGGCGACGCACACAGGTGGGGGGGGGGGGGGGGGGGAGGGGGGGGGAGAAGGCACAGCGCACCCACGGTTGTACACAACATCAGCGCGAGCGGCGAGGGGGAACGATGATTTAGCCCTCGGAACAACGCGACAGCTCGTCCATGTGGCGACCACGTGCTGGACCCACCGGAAGCGGGCAGCGGGCGCGAAGGTCGGCCACAGGCCTGGTATGCACGGCAGCGCTGCACGCCTCTGAACACAACACGTTCTCAGCGAAGCAGCACCGCCTGGGGCCCGGGCATTGTCACGGCCTCGCGGAATTTCAGGGACGGCGGCAACGGCTGGGGGCGAGAGCGTGCCGTCCCTCAGTGCAGGCGCCACAACCCGGGCAGCGGCGCCGCATGAGCCGTCGGCCCCAGCCGGGTCCCGATGCCTTCAGCTCTTGTTTCGCCCGCGCGCCGCCCGCGCGCGGCGTCCGCTCACAGCGAGCCGCCGCGGCCTTATCGCCTCCGTCCGGCTGCCGGCGGCGGCGGCCGCGGGGCACCGACCTGACATCGCGGCGGCGCGCGCGCCGCGGCCTCCTAGGGTGGCGTCTCCGGTGCCGGCGGGTCTGTGGCCGCCCCCCCACCCCCGCGCTGACCGTCTGCGGCAACTGCGCGACTATCTCTCAGACTCAAGCGACGTCATCGCCTTCGCGTAACGTTATCCCAGGAGCTCCCAGAATCACCAGCCTGAAGTCACCGCCGTCTAACACAATCCATCCGTCTTTGAAGCAGCCTCATCGCCGGGAGTCGTCGCCGACCGCGTCTCCCGACCGGCTCGCCGCATACCTGACGACCATACCGACCATTGCTCGATAGCTCGCGGGGAGCAGCGTGGCCGGTATAAATCACAGTGATCAGTTCAAGGCTCCGGACAGCGATGAGGTACCCACATGTCCTTAACGGGCGCACAATGCGCATTATCTACGCAGCCATCGTCCGCTTTGGCGCGTGCCTGATCGGTGTCCTCGGCAGGGCGGCGCCCCGGGTCAGGGGAGAGGACAGCGAGCGGCCAGGCGCGGGGGGGGGGGGGCACCGCACGCGCCACCTGGCCGAACTCTCCCCCGGCGCGACAGGTGCCTCGAACCGCCTCCCGCCCTCCCCCGCGGGCGCGGCCGACCTCTCCATAGGCACGGCACGTGGCTCGAACCGCCTCCCGCCCTCCCCCACGGGTGCGCAGATCTCTCCACGGGTGCGACACGTGCCTGAGCCTCCCACCCCCTCCACCACGGACGGGAGCGGCGCTGAGCGAGGAGCACCGACACGTCCTGAACGCCTCCCACCCCCTCCACCACCCCCAGGAGCGGCGCTGAGCGAGGAGCGCCGACACGTGCCTGACCGCCTTCCACCCCCTCCACCACGGGCCGGGAGCGGCGCTGAGCGAGGAGAACCGACACGTGCCTGACCGCCACCCCCCCCCTCCACTACCGGCCAGCAGCGGCGCTGAACGAGGAGCGCCAACACGTGCCTGACCGCCTCCCACCCCCTCCACTACGGGCCTGGAGCGGCGCTGAGCGAGGAGCACCGACACGTGCCTGACCGCCACCCACCCCCTCCACTACGGGCCAGCAGCGGCGCTGAACGAGGAGCGCCGACACGTGCCCTGTCCCCAGGAGGGACCGTCAGCAGCGACCCTGAGCGGGGCATGCGTCACCCCGACCGACAAACTTTCCTCCCCCGACGCCTCGCGGCCTGCTCATCCGACTCAGAAACGGGTTCTGCCTATTCGGCGGGCGTCTCCTTCCTCCCGCTTTCACTGATCCGGCGGCGCATGACCGCAGCGGGTCCGGCGCGGACGACCGATGCGGCAGCCGGTGACGGCGTCGCCGGTCAGCAGGTCGCAGCCCGCGCCGAGCCCGAAGCGGGCGGCGGGTCAGCGGGGTGGCCCGCTCCACCGGCACGGCGCTCCGTGGCCTGGCTGGCGGCGGCGGCGGCGGCGGCGGCAGCAGTGGTGGCGCGGTAACCATTCCCCGGTGCCTCAGACCAGGCCTGATCACGTCACCCACGGCGGCCGCCAGCCGGAGCTCCGCGGGGCCGCAGAGGGACAGGACCGGCACCGGCCGAGACCAGCCGGTGTCGCTGGTGACGGCCGACGAGCGAACTTCAACGCCACCCGCCTGCTCATCGCCATGGACTGGCTTCCCGTCGACCGACGGTCACTTCGCTCCTGAGAACGCCGCCGTCCGGATGGCGAGTTTTGCAACGGTCTGAGCCCGGAGGCCGCCTCACACACTATCACGCGCTCGAGGTCGGTGAGCAAGCCGCAGTCTGTGAGAACGACAATGGGTCACCCGAGGCGAGGCGCCCTGCAAGACGAAAGGGGGTCGATCGGTCGGTCCCGTTCGTTTCCGCGGCGCAGGCGGCGCAATCCACGACGCCCAAGCACAGGTCAACATCCCAGGGTTCTCAAACACTTCAAGAATCCTTTCAAAGTTTCATTCCCACATCGGCCGTCAAAACATTTTGCGTTGGACTGGCACCAGCGGAGTCAGCCGCTGCACGGCGTCGACGCTAACGGAGGCCGGTCAACATTGATCGTCGGCCGATAAAAATACACGACCCGCCCCCCGTCATTATCATAAGGTGCGGCCGAGGCGACGGGGGGCTCCGCAACCAGCTGCTACGAGTCAGCCGAAGCTACTGTCTCCAGCACCCGGGGCGGACGAGGCTCTGATACCAGCTGGTCCGGTGCTGTTGTGATCTGATGCTCCGTCCCCTGCTGGTCTTACACCCGAAGCACTGTTCTCATGTGCCATGTTATGGCATTGGGGCTTTATGGCGCATCAGCTGCTGAGGCTATATGGCGTCGCCCTGCCTCTCACCCCTGGCAGGAAGGGCCGGCACCCGCGGGGAATCGAACCCCGTGCCTCTGGTTCCCAGACGCGCGAAGGTTAACGCAGACGCGTTAACCACACTACCGGCGCCCCAAGAACCTTGTTCCTTGCTCTTCTGAATTAATCGATGCCCTGGTCCAGCTGGCCCCAGTGCTGTCCTGAATCTCTGGCCCCCGTCCCCAGCTGTCCCCGCGTTTGCCTGGGTCTCATGCTCCGTTCCCAGCACGCTTCATCCTCCGCTCACTCGATCGAACCGCCGTCCCCGTCCGCGGCGGTCTCTACGCTCGGCGCGCACCCCTAGCGGCCCACTTGGAACAAACAGCCCGTGGCAACGCACAGCTGCTGCGGCCGCCTCCCTCCCGTCTACCCATCGGTCGGGGAGGCCCGCCACCTGGTTACCCACCGGGCCGTCCCCTGACGACGCACATGTGAGCGGGCCCTGACCACCGGCGACGGCGGGGGAGGCGAGGGAGGAGGCGGCGGCTCCGGCGCCTTCCGGTGTCGCCACCCGATCGCGGCCAGGCGCCGGCGCGGCGGCAAAAACGCCGCGTCGAACGCCGCCGACCGTAAAAAGGAGTGGCGCGGAGCCGGCGCGGCTGGTTGGACCGCCCCGGGGCACGCCCTGCCCAGCTCGACCAGGTCATGACGAGCCGTCCCCCCCCCCCCCGTCCCACTGGGCGCAGACATGAGCCCACGGGACAGCGAGCCAATGGAGAGCAGGCACTTTCCTTCCGACCGCACTCATTATGTCCGGCTCACGTGCGGATTAGAGCCGGCTTTGAGGGGCGACAGTCCAGCTCCATAGAAAGCCACTCGTCCAAGGGCAGCCGCCAGCCGGCCGCCCGCCACTTAATGCGAGTCGGACGTATCAAGTGTCTCGGCGTCTTTTAAATCCCCACAAGGCGGGTGGACGAAGAGAGGAAGGGGAGACGAGGGAGAGGACGAGAGCGCGCGGGAGAGCACGGCGGGCGACGGGAGCCAACGCAGGAACGCCGGGACGGCGGCCAGAACAGACGGCATGTCCAGCTGACCCATGCCCCACCCTCACCGCAGGGCTAGAGCGCCGACAGCCAGCGACGGAGCCGGGTGCCGCCACCCGGCGCGCGGACCCACCTGAGCCGTCCTCCAGCTGCGCCAACCACTGGTTCAGCTCCCTCCAGGTCGATCACCTGGGCCGTGCGCAGGCCGGCGCTCATGACCGCGGCACGGCGTCAGCCGCGCATCGTCCGCGTGCGCCTCTCTCACACACGCACTCACAGACACACACGCCGGCAGTCGGCG